TATGCTGTTTGACTTGTTCTTCCTGAGGATGATAAGGTAGATAAGACCTGGGGAAATAGGAAGAAAAGTTGAACAGATAGGATCTAAGTCCTGAGATGTTCTTTAATGTATATTACTAGATTTTAACCAAAAATTCCTTCCTCCTTTCTCTTTCTTCTTTTTTTTTTTTTTTTGTTTTTTCATTTCTTCTCAAAAAATTTTTGTCTCTTTCTCCTTATTTGATTCTGTCTGTAGATGTCTTGTGGCTTCAAGCATTCAGCAGTGGTAACTTCAGATGGCAAACTGTTTACCTTTGGGAATGGTGACTATGGTCGTTTGGGTCTTGGAAACACTTCTAACAAAAAACTTCCAGAAAGAGTGACTGCGCTGGAGGGATATCAAATTGGACAGGTAAGGAATAGATAGATCATTATATGTTCTGTCTGATCATAATTTATTTCTTGTGTGTATACTTAAAAACTACCTTTTAGAAAGACTAGGACCACCAGTTACTCTTAATCTTGTATACATTTTGTTTTGCTAAGTGATCATTTTTTATTTTTCCCAGTATAAAAAATTTATGTCAATTTAAGCTTGTCCTATTTGATAAACACATGAAAGTCTTAATTCAGGGTGTGAATATGTAAAAGCCCTTCTATAAAGTACTAATATGACTTTCTATAAAGCTGTTAGACAATATACTTTTTGTGATTTTTATTCTATAGCCAGGAAGTAGATTTTTCAATTGCAGCATCATTGGCAGCTACTGCTCTTAAGCAATAATTGTTCTTGTCTGTCCACATTGAGACCATCTCTTAACAAGGAGATAAGATTTTGTGATCTTTTTCTTATCGATTTTAGTGTGAATAGTATTTTTAAGTCATGTGTACTCATGCTCTGATTCTTAGTCACTACAGTTATATGAAGGCTTTCACGTTAGAGATATATATATATATTTTAATTTTTTTGTAATTCAAAATTACTTCTTGTTGACACATTTTGGTTAACATATAAAAGGCACTAAAACCAATAGAAATCTTTAGAACAGAGCCAGGTTTTTCACTGAACTAAAAAAAAACAAGTGGTCCCAGAAATAGTGCTATATGTTTTAGGCACTATGATTTGCCTTACTGAATATTCTGTTTCTTCTCCAGGTGGCTTGTGGCTTAAACCACACTTTGGCGGTGTCAGCAGATGGCTCCATGGTGTGGGCTTTTGGAGATGGGGATTATGGAAAATTGGGATTAGGAAATTCCACTGCGAAATCATCTCCTCAGGTCAGCATTATCTTTAGGGTTTCAGACAGTAGTTTTCATTTACGTCATTATCTCTTTTTTAGTTGAAAATAATGTACCTTTAATACTTTTGGTAATTCAGAATGAAGTTTAGAAAGGTTTTTGGTGTAATTCTAACATTTTGTATCTTGATTTGAAAAAAGCCATTACTGGTTATAATTGATACAAAAATTCTACAAGGCTAAGCCTCTGTCTCCCATACATAGGCTGAACACTGTTGTAGGACTCCTCTCCACATGAATAAATAGTTATATATATATCTTCAGTATCTTGTGAAGAGAACTATGAACAATCTTTTCTAACCTTCTGCTTGCAGCTACCACTTGATCTTATTATTATCACTAAATTGTAGATGCATGTACTTCCTTTCAAAAAATAGAAAGAAAATCCAAGTATATAAACAAGTAAATTTAAACTTTTGTATGTTTCCAAACCTTGTGGAAGACCTTCTATGTAATTTTTTATGTGCATTTACCTAACACATTTAACAAGCATAATTTATAAATACTCAATTTTTATTCAACTTTATATTCATCATCTATAATCTATGACATCTTTATAACTAGACTGATGAGTATTCAGGTAGGAATACAGAAAGCCAAGACACTGTATCTGGGGAGCTTTTAAAATGTTAATTGTCAACTAAGAAAGCATAAGGATCTAACTGAGAGCCACCATGGTGTTAACAAGGTCCCGCATTGTTCTTTAAAAGACTCTAGGATTCTCAGTGGTTCTGATTGATGCCCAGAGGAATTTTTCCTTCCACTTAGATCCTGGAGATTTTAGTCAAATACCTCTGCTCTGCATACTTACTCCTGTAATTAAGATAGTTTACAAAGCATATGATAAAACAGCATTTATGTGTATATTATTTAGGTCAAAATAAGTAGGTTCCTTGAATTTATATATGCCAGTAGGCAAATGCAAGAGTGTTTTATTTTCCCTTTTTAAAACTATGTGCTTTATACTTTGGTTTTGTAGAAAGTTGATGTCCTTTGTGGAATTGGAATAAAAAAGGTTGCTTGTGGAACTCAATTTTCTGTTGCATTGACCAAAGATGGTCATGTGTATACATTTGGTCAAGGTAAGAAACTTTTCATTATATTGCTTGTTTTATCTATACATATGTTATAGAAACCCTTGCTTTCCAAGACTAAATTGAGTCTTTTTTTTTTTTTCCTGGGTCATGAATGGCCACTGTAACTTACATTCATTAGCTGTTTTCTGCTCCTTTTTAATGAAGTTTGTCATAAAGACGAACATTCCTCTTCATAGGTCACCCTTTATGCCAGTGCCATCTCTTTTACTAGAAAATTCTCTGCCAAAGTTCTCCTCCTCCTCCCCTCTGCTGCCTCCACCATATTGTCACAAACATTGTCCTAACCAGCACACCTCCTCTGGATTCTTCATCACTCCCAACCCTTCCAGGGGTTCAGGTCTTAGAAATTCATAGACATCCAAGGTTTAAAATCATGAGTAGGATCATAGCCCAAATGTTCACAGTAGGGCTTTCTGGTAATATATTCACCATCTTAGTGGAATTTCTAAGTAGTAGTGACTAGAGGGAGGGGAGCTCTAAGGCTGATGTGAAGAATTAAGCCATAAGTCAAGTTTCTAATAGTTTGTAGTCTTTGAAGAACATTGATGCCATTATTGAAGATAAGTCTTGGGGAGAATAAAAGCTTTAGTTTTAGCCATATTGAATTGTGGCTATATACTCAAGATATATGTATGAAGATGTATCCAGGAAGTTATTGGGAATTTGTATCTTAAACTCCAGATCTGGAGACTGGTTTATGAAGACATAAATTTGCCATACTAATAGGCTCTAAAGAAACTCAGAGAGAGAGTTTAGAATGGAAAATTAAGAATCTGTATCTCTAGGAATGTAAGGTGAGCATAGGATGAGGACAAGAACTTGAAAGAGTTGACTTTGAAAAGAATGGAGAAAGAGCTAGGCAGTGAACCAGGGTAGTGCAGAATCTGAGAGGCGGAGGAGATGAGGCCATGTTCTCAGAAGCTCTGTGGATCTCTGTGCTGGAGCGTGTGAAAAGACTGCTACTCGAGACAGTTGGAAGCTATTCTTGACTTTGAAGAGTATAGTTTCAGCACCGTGGTGAGAGTAGAAGTTAATTTGTAGAAGGGTGCCAAGCCAAATAGGCCTAGAGGATATATAACAACAAAAATGGCACTTTCTAGAGGTTTGGCAGCAAAGGCAAGGGGATAGGTTGATTGGAAATTTAAGGATAAAACAGGTTGAATGATATATTTTCTTAGAATGCAAGAATTTTAGGGACTTGATACCAGTCCTCCCAAATAGGAGAATGGAAGTGCCTTTTGGTTTGAAATAAGCTACTAATATTTGGTTAATTTTACTTGTTTTTATTAGGAAATTGACATTTTGCAAAGAAACAGTTTGAAACTTTTCTTTCACTCAGATTCTACTTAGCATACCTTACCAAAACAGTAGTTTTTGCCCCAGTGAGTTGTATATGTCCTTACCATTATACCGTAAAAATTAAGACTCCTTAAAAAACATAAATGGACTATAGTATACCATCCATAATGATTACCATCTTTTCAGATCGTTTGATAGGCTTACCAGAGGGTCGTGCCCGAAACCATAATCGACCACAGCAAATCCCTGTCCTGGCTGGGGTGAACATTGAAGACATAGCAGTTGGAGCTGAGCATACACTTGCTTTGGCGTCAAATGGAGATGTATATGCCTGGGGGAGTAATTCAGAAGGGCAGGTAATTATTTACCTCAAATAATTCTCTCAAATGCTTAGTTCTCTCAAATTCTAGAAACCTCATTTGGGAAAGTGATATGCTAGGGAACTCCTAATATCACAGTGTGCCAAAGCACATCACTTTACCATAAGACTGGTTACTCTGTGAATTCAGTTATGTATCTCTCTCTCTCTTGATCATGGGTGAATAAGTATTATGGCATAATTAAAAAAAATAATCTGTTGGGCCTCCCTGGTGGTACAAGGGGTTAAAGTGCAGCACTATGAAGCTGCACTGCAGTGTGATCCCCAGCCAGGGAGGTGACCCACATGGCAAAGCAGACTTCTCCAGTCTTGTCCCACTGCTCCTCTCAGCAGTGTATTTCAGTCAGTCTGCCTGTTTTGCCTCCCACTCTGTCTCTGGTAAATCCTCTCCCCCCACCCCCCACCTCTGGCCTGTATCCCAGTTTTTCTATGCATAAATAAATAAATAAATAAAACTTTAAAAAAATAATCTGTTACACAGAACAGATTCACCATAGCGGAAAGGGATTGGTATAGGTGAAATGGGTACAGGGACTCAGTTATATGGTAATGGATGGAAACTAGATTTGGTGGTGATTATGAAGTAGTATATACACTATACATATTGAAGTACAATGCTGTACATCTGAAATTTATATGTTAAAATCAATGTTATTTAAATAGTTTTAAAAAAAGATCTATTTTTATTTATATATACAAAAACAGAGGTGAGAGGGGTAAGAGTATTAACCAGAGAGATAGCATGGGGATCAGATCAGGAGGAGCTACTAAAATAAACAGGAACAATAGGCAAGACAGGAAAGGTCTGTTGCGCTATGTGAGTTAGCTCCCTGATTGGAGATGGACCCAGGTTATTATGGCAGTAGTGCTGAAATTTAATCCCTAGGCCACCAGTGAGGCCCCTCAATATATTTTTTAAATCGGACAGCAAAGCATAGTGATTAAGGGGGATTGACAGTATATGTGAATGCCTACCCACATTGGTAAGTGGCTTGTACATAGAAGACTCATGAGATTGTTATGTTCAGCCTACCCAAGTAATGGAGGAGGGAGAGACTTTGGTGGAAGATGTGTAAGATGTCTGCTACTACTTTGGCTTTCAACCCTACATGCAGAGCCACATAACCCATGCTCTGTAAATCCTCTTTGGGTCTGCGTACCCCTAGAATCAGGGCCCTCAAGTCTAGGTCCAATATTATTCATAGCAGCCTCAGTTTAGCCATATGATGTCCTTGTCACTGTATTAACAGCTGAAGAAGCTGTTCATCATTGTGGTTGTGTATTGTCTTAATGAGAGGAAGAGTTAGTGTTGAAGACACCTTTCGAAAGTCCTTGTCAGGACCTTAACATGATCCTCCCTGATGATGTTAAAGTGTTAGGGTATCCCAGTCAGACCTTAGGAACAGAGACCTTAAGACGAGAATCTACTTATGTGTATGCTTTTATAAATGTTTATTGTTACACAAACTGTTCATGTTAAAAATCAAAAAGTCAATGTGTACTAAGTAAAAACTCCATAGATCACTGTTTTTTTCTTTCAACATTCCAAAAACTCATTTCTTCTCCAGAAGTGGAATCCAGGGGTGTGGATAAGTTACTAAGATGCTAAGACGTACTAAATTTGTTGCAGCTTAGTTTTTAGGAGATAGTCTGAGATGTGAAAAACATTCTGATAGAGAAAACCAGAATTTCATTATTTTGACTTTGTTGCTTGGTACAGAAACTAACATATTTGTATCTAATGCCATCTAAGAAAAATTTCATCTTGGCTTCTTGTTTTTAATTGAATCTCTATTTAATAATTTGTAATTTATTCACAGCTTGGGCTAGGTCACACCAACCACGTTCGAGAACCAACCCTGGTAACAGTTTTGCAAGGGAAAAACGTTCGTCAGATTTCTGCTGGCCGCTGCCACAGTGCCGCTTGGACAGCACCACCTGTCCCGCCAAGAGCACCAGGTGAAGGATGAAATAGCTGTATATCTGCAGCTTTTCTTTCAGCTGTACCAGCTTCATTGTCTGCTTGCCAGTTTCAGGCTGTATTCAGACATCATTCTGAAACTATCACACCTTCCCACACACAACTGAAGCAGTCTTCATTCTATCAGCACTATAAATACTTTCACGGCAGGCTATTCTCTGCAGACTTCCTCACACAGCATTCCCTCTCTGCAATCCCTCCCCCCCCAAAAAAAGAAAACATATCATTTAGGCAAGCAAAGATTTATTGTTTTAAAGTAGCAACTAATATATATTTATATAAAATAAATGATGAAAGCTTTTGTTTCAGTTTTCTGACGTCTGATGTTAGGAAGAAAGATTAAAAATCCTGAGGCCATTTGTCATTATCTTCACCACCAGCACTTCCACCATTTGGAATGTTAGTTGTCTGCATTGGCATGACAGCAAGAAAAATTCTTGCCATTTTACTCTAGTGTGCAGCAAGACTGAAGCGCTGTTTTTGTCTTTTTGTGTTGTTTTGCTTTTATTTTATAATGAAATCCTTACAGATCTGTAAAAATTCTAAGTGAAAAAAGGCATATTTGTGTACTTAATATCCACTTGTGTAATCTCCTGGATTGGACCCATCCTCCATTCTCCACAAATTTAACCATTATCTTAAGTGTGGCATTTATAGTTAGTTGGCATTTATAGTTAGTTCTGTCATCCCCTGATGCCTGAGGTGTTAGAACTTCCCTGAAGTATTCTCTTCTCTTTTTGCTAATATTTCTACTTCTTAGACACAAATCTTTAAGAGACTCCACATAGAAATTTTCTCTTAGATATCCTTAGAAAGCAAGATAGGGCTACCAGTTACCAACCAAGCAGAAGATGGTTTCTAGCTAACAGAACCCAAAATAAGCAGTGCTGTCATAAACAGATAATTTCAGGTGCTCAGGAATCAGTTTCCAGAGGCTTCTACAACAGGACAGAGGCTATTCTATGTGGTGGTTAAAGTTCAAACTCTGAAACTCTAGTGCCTAAATTGAGTCCTGGTTCTTCTAATTATGAGCTAAGTAACCTTGAGATTCAGTATCTTTTTCTGTAAAATAAGGGTAATGATAGTATCCATTGTAAATAGTGATGGGACCAATTCACATAAAGTTCTTACAGTATGCCAGGCACACAAAATTACTTGGCAAATGTTAGCTTTTATTAATAGTAGTAAAATACTTCTGGAAATTGAGCTGTATAGTCTATTTACAGGAAATTCAAATAAGTTGAAGATTTTGTTTTTACTCCTTTGTGCATATTTTTAAGACTATAACCATGGATACATTCATTAGAGTGTTCACTTTTATAGAGCTCTGATTTTTGTAGTAGAAAGACTTCATGAATCATGTACCCATATTTACCATTCTGCATGGTCAGACCCTACTCATTATGAGAGGAGGTTCTGCTAAATTACTATTTCCATATTCAAGAAATGCTTATCTGGTCCTGGTTAACACCCTGTGTTATTTTGAAATATGAAAAGGAAGTTAAACTGAGATTTTTTAAGGCCACAGTTAAATGGGAAACTAAAGGAGAAAAAAAAAGCAAAAAAACAAGTTTCTTTAATTCCGTAATGTTAAAAAGTGGTTTAAAAACAAACACAGGTACGGCCCTCCTTGGTGGCGCAGCGGGTTAAAGCACTGCACTGAGAAGCTAAAGCCACTTCCGCATGAGTTCGATTCCCGCCTGCCCCGGAGGAGACCACATGGCGTGGCAGACCTCTCCTGACCCGCCCACTGCTCCCCTGAGCAGTGTACTTCGTTGATCTGCCTGTTCTGCTCCCCACTCTGTCTCTGGTGAAGTCTCTCACTGCCCCTGAGTCTCTGGCCTGTACCCCAGTTCTGTATGTACAAATAAATAAATCTTTTAAAAAAAAAAAAAAACAAACACAGGTACATCAAAAAAATAAGGTAAACGAATGAATAAATTGATCAATGTGTGATAAAGCACAAATATCAAACTAGTAAATAGAATTTAGGAGGTGGTAGTAGGTATTATTGTCTAAATTTCTTTGCTTGAAGCTTTTCAAAATACTGAAAATGAAAGCAATGTATTTTTGTTTATCAGTATGCATTTGCTTTCTGGGCAGGTGTGTCAGTACCCCTGCAACTAGGCCTGCCTGATGCAGTGCCCCCCCAGTATGGAGCACTGAGGGAGGTGAGCATTCACACTGCCCGGGCCAGACTCCGACTGCTGTATCACTTCTCTGATCTCATGTACTCGTCCTGGAGACTGCTGAACCTCAGCCCTAACAACCAGGTAACATGCTGGCTTGGGAGGCAGTGCAGGGACTTTCTCTCAGCCTTAGGGAAGGTCTTCAATGGCTAATACTTTTGACATTCAACACCCAAGAGATAGTGATAAGGCAGCTATCTTATTTCTCTTTTATTGCTGGTTTAGGGATAGTCCAGACATTGGTAATCATGTTCTTGACTCAAAGTGATCTTAAGACCTCTATTAGCTGTGTATCTTCTGCAATGTTTAATATATGATTTTAAAACTTAAACACACAACATTGTTATCACCATAGTAAAGGTTGTTAGATAAATGAGTCTGAAACATTTAGGAGACTTCTTTTTTCTTTTAAAATGAGCATTCTGGGCTCTCCCTGGTAGCACAACGGGTTAGGATGCAATACTGCAAGCTAGCCACAGCTGCTTTGGTATGAGTTGGAGCACCGGGGGGTAACCCACATGACATAGCAGACCCCTCCTGACCCACCTGCTGCTCCCCTAAGCAGTGTACTTCGTTGATCTGCCTGTTCTGCTCCCCACTCTGTCTCTGGTGAATCCTCTCACCGCCCCTCTCACTGCCTGTGGCCGGTACACCAGTTCTGTATGCATAAATAAATAAACCTTAAAAAATAATATAAAATAAAATGAGCCCTCTGAGTTTTATTAAAGAATAAGTGGAGAAGATAAAGTAAATTTGGCTCATTTGACTGTATAAAACAGTCTAGTCATTTAGGAAGAAAGCAAGCTGGCTATGTTTGCTTAATATGTAAGCATGCCTGTCAAAATGTGTATCAGTTTGTAAAACTAGTAGTCAAAAATCCTTTGGGTGCAAACAATCATGGGACATATGAGACAAATCACTGTTGGAAATAATCAGTCAGGAAACAAAATACCCCATAGCACTAGCCTAATGTTATCAAACCATTTATAATTAGTGAGGGCAGTGTTTATGGTATAAAGTGAGAAAAGTGGCAAGAAATCGTATAAACAGTTTAATCTCAACAGTGTGAAAGATCATTGTCTGCATACAGAAGGAAATTAGAAGGAAGCAGATGAGTTAATGGGGCCTTCTCCATATGGTAGGATTATGGATGTTAGTTTGTGCATGTATGTGTATTCTTTTCCAAGTTTTAAAAAAGAGGAATTACATATTTTGTAGAAACATATTTTTAAAAAATTTCGAGGCCCTCCCTGGTGGCGCAGCGGGTTAAAGCACTGCACTGAGAAACTAAAGCCACTTCCGCATGAGTTCAATCCCCGCCTGCCCCGGAGGTGACCACATGGCGTGGCAGACCTCTCCTGACCCGCTCGCTGCTCCCCTCAGCAGTGTACTTCATCAATCTGCCTGTTCTGCTCCTCGCTCTGTCTCTGGTGAATCCTCTCACCCTCCGCATCTCTGGCCTGTACCCCAGTTCTGTATGAATAAATAAATAAATCTTTAAAAAAAAAAAATTTCGAACAGTTGGGTCCTCCTTGGTGGGTAAACAGGTTAAAGAATAGTATGAAGCTATCAGAAGCTACTCAGCACAATTTCAATCACTGGCCAGGGAGATGACCCTCATGGTGTGGCAGACCTCTCCAGACACCTGCGCACTGCTCCCCTCAGCAGTGTACTTCACTGCTGAAATGTGTATAGATCTTCCTATTCTGCTCCCTACTCTGTCACTGGTGAATCCTCTCATCCCTTGCATCTCTGGCCTGTACCCCAATTTTGTATGTATAAATAAATAAATCTTTTTAAAAACTTCTAACAGTTGTTAATATCCAAATTTATGTTTTTTAAAGAATATTCAAAAAACAATGTGTTGTAAAAGTGAGAAGTGTTTTTTTGAAGCTTTAGGTTGTACCATGTAATATGACTCTGATAAGCTTAACTTCTGTTACAGAACAGTACATCTCACTATAATGCTGGAACATGGGGCATTGTACAGGGACAACTTCGACCTTTGTTAGCCCCACGAGTCTATACTCTCCCAATGGTGCGCTCCATAGGAAAAACCATGGTTCAAGGAAAAAACTATGGACCTCAAATTACTGTAAAAAGGATATCAACCAGGTTAGCATATGTCTGTGTGTTTTGTGTATGTTTCACTAACAAGTTGGCATTTTTTAAGGTGAACATTATTTTTAATTAACCTCTGTGAGCCTTGGCTTCTAAAGTAAGATATTGACAGTAATGGTATTCGTATGGTTTTGGTGGGCCTAGCACAGTGTTTGACTATTGTTAAACTGTCTTGTTTGTTCACTTATCAGAAGATATCTTCATAAGACCTTCGTGGTGATTTGTAGATGTTGAGTGATATTTCATTCTGTTTTTCCTTTTTTTTTTTAAAGGGGACGAAAGTGTAAGCCCATCTTTGTCCAAATAGCAAGACAAGTAGTTAAGCTGAATGCATCAGACCTCCGTCTGCCTTCCCGGGCATGGAAAGTAAAGCTGGTTGGAGAAGGAGCTGATGACGCTGGAGGAGTATTTGATGACACAATCACAGAGATGTGCCAGGTATATATTTTCCAGTGTCCCCTGCTAATAAATCCAGTCAGGTGGTAGAATGGCCATTTTACTATCTTCAGTGATTATCTTTTTCTAGATGCAGCAAGCATTTTTGAGCCTTACATGAAGTCATGCTGTTTTTGATGTATAAGTGAATGATAGCAAGGGTTTGTGAAATGCTTTGTGAAGATACATTGCTGACTAAATGTCAGTGATTAGCCATCTACCAATGACTCACCATCTGTTGTGCTATAGTATTGGCAGAGGAAACAACAGGGACACATATTTACATTTACATAACAGACAAATCCAGGACCAACCATGTACTCTGGTTTAATTCTGGTGTTTGTGGAACCAAGTAGAACTGCCAACTCCGTTGGACTATAATAACAAGTCTCAAGAGTTTGGACTTGTTTTTATTTTAATATCTATAGTGATAGCTTCACTTCCTGATCAGCTCTGACCCCCTTAGTTTTAACTAGTATCAGGATTTTCTGTAACTAAAATTATACTTGGCAATCACTTATTGCATCTATTTGAGTGTCACTACACCCTGCTTACAGGTACCTCAGTTCCTACTCTTAGTTGACTTTTTTCATCTTGGTTCTTCATATTACATTTTCTTGGGAAGTACCTAATTTCACCTTAATTTAATTTCACACATCAGTATTAATTTTAGTAGTCAAGTTAGTTAGATGTGTCATATATGTTCATTTTATGTGTATAAAATGTTTCATTGTGATTAAAATTTGAAAAAATATATAAAACTGAAAAATAATTATAGAGGTAATTGGTTCACATGGTATTATAAGTCTTCAACTATATTCTCTTCAGTGTAATCATTTAGTGTAGCTGATTTGTTCTCTTAGTGCAGTTGATTGTCTTTTATCAAAAAAATTGTTTTTCTTTCTTTAGGAACTTGAAACTGGTATTGTTGACCTTCTTATACCTTCTCCCAATGCCACTGCAGAAGTAGGTTACAATAGAGACAGGTAAGGCGGGCAGCAAGTGTTTTTTGAAAGTTTTCAGCGATGATGAGGGCAGTGATGGTCACTCACATTTATTTATTTATTTATTAAAGCTTATTTATGTGTACTATAATAAATACATATTTATTTATGCATACTGTAGGCCCGAGATCTATGTGTGAGAGGATTCACCAGACACAGAGTGGGGAACAGAACAGGCAAATTGACTGAAATATTCTGCTGAGGGGAGCTTTAGGGGAGAGAGAAGAGGTCTGCTGCACCATGTGGGCTAGTTCCCTGGCTGGAGATCCAGCTCATGCTGCAGTGGCTGCTGATAGCTTCATAGTGCTGAGATTTAATCCCTTGTACCATCAGGGAGGCCCAGCTTACATTTATGAGTTCTTATGTGCCAGGCACTGTTCAAAGTGCTCTACAGGGATTAGCCTGTTGAATCCTATTTATATTCCTAAGAGTATCTCTTGTTTCTATTCCTTTTTCACTGTTAGGGAAATTGAGGCATTTCCCTCATTATTTAGTATTTATTATGCAACCAATTCAATGAAAATAGATTGGGCTAGAGAAAACTCAGACATGATAATAAAACCTCACTTCTTTTGATGTCTCCTGCAGGAATTTTCTGCAGCCAAATTCATTTAAAAGCTTTGGTATGCTGTCAAATTATAACACTTATTTGCAATTATATTTATCCCAGTATTTATAAAATTTTGAATTTTGGATCCTACTTCATGGACTGGTAGGTAATAATGGTATCCTGGAGCAGGTAGTTTAAGGATTAATAGGCCATTCACTTGCTCTTTTATGGGTATGCTAAAAATAATTCCAAATACACTTCCTGTGCTGTACAAAGCCATAGCCACAGGCCACATGTGACTTTTGTTTACTCTAAATGTGGTTAAAGTAGCTGAAGAACTGAATAATTTTTAATTTTTTAATTAATGTAAATAGCACCCTGTGCCTAATGACTATATTATTGGACTGTGCATATCTATAACAATGTATAGCTGTTGGATAACTTACTTCTGATAGAAATGAGGGCAATTTTAGAAATTATTTGCTTTAATTTTTCAGGTTCCTTTTTAACCCCTCTGCTTGCCTTGATGAACACTTAATGCAGTTTAAGTTCTTGGGAATTTTAATGGGGGTTGCCATTCGCACCAAGAAGCCTCTGGACCTTCACTTGGCCCCTCTGGTGTGGAAGCAGCTGTGCTGCATCCCACTCACTCTGGAAGACCTGGAGGAAGTGGATCTGCTCTACGTGCAGACTCTGAACAGCATTCTTCACATTGAAGACAGTGGGATTACAGAGGAGAGTTTCCATGAGGTAAATCCTGGCAAGTCTGACTTTCTGCTGGTATTGACTAAAAATTTTGTTTAAAACTTAAGATTTAGGCTTCTATTTGCTATCTGGCTCACTTATACCATGTCCCATAACTGTCCTTTGTAGCTCAACCCCAGCAGTTTAAATAATTCCTCAGTGATACAGTCAGCTCCAGCATCTAGCTTTTGCTCCTTCCTCTGTAGTCATTCTGCATGTTAGAGTGGAGGACTGATGGAATCAAGGTGGGGTCTCTGGCGTGACTGGAGCTATCAAACCTGGTTTGGGGGCAGAGAGATTTGGCATTATTTTTAACTACAGCCAGATAAATTAACACATTCCCTGCTGATCAGATAATCTGATCAATTGTACCTGTTTTATTTGCCTTTTCATCCCTTAAAGTCTTTGTATTCTTACTGATTTGCTATATTTGTATGTAATATATTAACTGTTATCATTTCTACCATGTAATAATTATTTTCTCTTCTGTTCTTAGATGATTCCTCTTGATTCTTTTGTTGGCCAGAGTGCTGATGGCAAAATGGTCCCCATAATCCCTGGTGGAAATAGTATCCCACTCACATTTTCCAATAGGAAGGAATATGTGGAGAGGGCCATTGAATATCGACTTCATGAGATGGACCGACAGGTGAGATGATACATTTTGAGAGGTCTGTGTGAATGTTAGGATTTGTCTCCAAAAGAGAGATGTTTGGTCACTACCAAATTTTGGCAGGTGAATTTACTGTATTGATTGATTTGTACCTGGATTTCAATACCCATTAAGAGACTTTGCACACTGCCTCTGGTTCTTACTTCTCCTTAGACCAGGCTTAATGTCAGTTCTGAATTGTTCACTGGTTGGATTGAGGCCAAACTCTGACCTAAGCTTTACGTGCTGCCATTTCACTCTTCTTGGGTCAGTTTGTCTGCATCTTTTACTGCTGCCCAGGCCAGGGTAGCCAGTCCAGCAGTTTTAGCAAGGTCCTAGAAATGAACCCCCAAAGGCTGATCTTGCAGCCCTAACTGAGTGCCTCTTCCTACTTCATGCATGCAATATATTGGTGGTATTTTGTTTTTAATCATAAGCTTTTGAATTGGTCAGGAGTGAAGAAGTACTTGTAAAACAAACCCTGAAGAGTGAGGAGTCTGTGTGTAGGGCATGCACCACTGCATGGTCTGGAGGAGTTTTTTAAAACTGATTGTGTGGGCAGCTCCCCCTCGACATTCCTCAACTAGCCTGTTGTCAGTAACGTGCTAAGAGAACAGAAATAGATAACTACTCATACAGGGCTTGATGTAGTCAGTCATTTAAAATTCTCATCACATGGACCTCCCTAGTTGTACAAGGGGTTAAGTCTCAGCACTTAACTAGGATGCTATCGGCAGCCAATGAAGCACGAGTTCAATCCCCGGCCAGGGGGCTGACCCACAGGGTGCAACAGACCTCTCCTGTCTCACCCACTGTTCCCCTCAGCAGTATTTCAGTTAGTCTGCCTATTCTGCTCCCCATTCTATCTGTGGTGAATCCTCTCACCCTTTGCATCTCTGGCCTGTACCCCAGTTCTTGTATGCATAAATAAATAAATCTTTAGAAAAATAAAATCTCATCACAGTCATGTGAACAGCAATTATCTGCCTAAGTTTTAAGATGGGAAAATTAAGTGAAGTGGTGGTGCTGGGATTCAGAATTCAAGGTCCTGAGTAAATTTTCTGGCCTTCCTACTATTTTCCTCTTTTTTTTTTTTTTAAAGATTTATTTATTTATTCATACAGAACTGGGAGATCTATGTGTGAGAGGATTCACCAGAGACAGAGTGGGGTGCAGAACAGGCAGATCCACGAAGTACACTGCCGAGGGGAGCAGCGGGCGGGCCAGGAGAGGTCTGCCACGCCATGTGGTCACCTCCGGGGCAGGCGGGAATCGAACTCATGCGGAAGTGGCTTAAGCCTCTCTGTGCTGTGCCCCAACCCGCTGCGCCACCAGGGAGGGCCTATTTTCCTCTTTTTTTTTATGTTCTTCTAATTTTTTTTTTTTGGCTAATTTTTCTTCTAATTTTTTTACTATGAACATGAATGATTTTTTCAAAAGAAGATATAATTGTTTTCAAAATAAAAATATAAAATACAAAAACAGTAGAAGCTAGACATATCCTCCATGAACTGCTTCCCATGATGAAGAAACAGTCTCCACATAGCAGGCTTTGATAGCATGTGGCCGGGTATAATTAGAAATATTAGTGAGGGGGCAGGTGTGCACTGGGCTCCTAAACTGGCTTGAACTGGGGGGAGAGGGACTGTGCCAGTCTCACAAATGGGAAGAAGCAGTTCTAGCAGAGGGTCAAAGGCGAGGAAGATGGGCCGTGTGCGTGGGCACTCTTGCAGAGAGAGACACTGGAGAGTCTGGGGAACAAATGAACAGATGGGCTGCTCAGCACTGTTCAGTCTGTGGTGGGTGCCCCCGGTACGCACACACATGCTGAATGAACCACCTCTCCTGGGAGCAGGTGGCTGCTGTCCGAGAAGGGATGTCCTGGATTGTCCCGGTGCCGCTGCTGTCCCTCCTCACAGCAAAGCAGCTGGAGCAGATGGTGTGTGGCATGCCGGAGATCTCTGTGGAAGTCTTGAAGAAAGTGGTGCGGTACCGGGAGGTGGATGAACAGCATCAACTTGTCCAGTGGTTCTGGCACACACTGGAGGAGTTCTCCAATGAGGAGCGCGTGCTCTTCATGAGGTTTGTGTCTGGAAGATCTCGACTACCAGCCAACACTGCTGACATTTCTCAGAGATTTCAAATCATGAAGGTTGATAGGGTAAGTAAGCTGTTCTTTCTCCCTTAGTGATGTTTGCCCTTATTGCTTCCTTGTTTGTACATGTTGGGAAAACCAAACAGACCTTCGAGCAGACCTGTCAATTCTTAGAATTGTTTACAATTTCCAGATTGAAGAAAACATCAAGCAGAAAACTTGTTGAGAAACAAGTCCTACACCAATATAGAAAACACATCATCACCTTCACCAAATGTATTACTTCCTAACGGGAAACTAAACTTGGCAGAGTGGTCACCATGTTGCCTGTGCCTCTTTATTTCCTGTGCCCTTTCATTGTGTGACTTGTATGTACATGGTCTTGTTTGTTTTCGCCAAAATACCATATAACCGTAAACTGGCAAACATGCTCCTTGTGTGGTATGAACCGCAGAGCCCCCGCCCAGCTGCCATCTTGACAGATGGCTGAGGAATAAAAGGGCTTATAGTCTCAAATGTACTTTGCTGCCAGAGTCTTCTTTCTCAGCCCCATATGAATGTGTCACCTTGACCTTCCAGACCATTCAGGGAGATCATGCCTACCCTATACTGATTCCAGGATAAGTAAATATTGCCTTAGTGGCCTTTACCACCCCCACAGCCTGTCTTCTGTCCTACTTTTTGATACCATCTCTTGATGCTTGTTATATTCTGGCCATTTTGGGTTGATTGTCTTTCTCCCCCATACTCTGTGCTGTTTTAAACTCATGTGCCTTTGTTGCCTCTGCTTTAGTAAGTTATTCACATCCCTTTCCATCTATGCCTGCCAAGTATTTACTCATCCTTTTAAGCTTAACACCAATATCATTTCCAAGAAGCCCTCCTGGATGCTACTCTAAGCCCCCTCACCACTACTGAGGGCAGACTTGGGCTTCCTTCTGTCCACCTCTTGGACACTTGGTAAATCCTTTAAATCCAGTATTAAGTTTGAAGTGCTTGAGTTCCCTCCCTGGGACACCCCTCATGAGCTGGCAGTCCTAGGAGCAGGGCCCATAGTGTTTATTCAAGAAATTGTAAAGAGAATAGGACCTCTTCACATGAGAACCTGTCCTGCCAGCTTCAGCGTCTGCCTTTCTGGTGTCTTGGAGGTTTCTGTGGCAAAATTGTCCCTCCCCCACGGCATCCTGAGGCTGCCTGCCTGGGCTCCACTCCTAGACTCCGCTTGCTGGAAAGGCTGTGCACAGGAAGGCTATGAAAAGAGCCTTTCCATAAATTTTCTACATGACTTGCCAAAAACTATAAGTAGTAAATCTGTTTTGTTGCTTGAGCGAGAGGTAGAGAGAAGGAAATGATTTGCTTCTATTCAGTTCTGGAAAAAATCCTTGCCTTATATTTGTCCTGGGCTTCCCCTGCCATGCAGGAGTTAATCCACCACTAATCTCTTGCCTGGGGCTTTTCAGACTCAGAAAACTGGCCACTGTAGTAGGTCTGTCCTTTGTGACTTTTAGACTATTTCTCCAGTTTGCAAATTAGAGCCACCTGTTTACATTCCCCTTGAGTGTTTTGCTGGTTTGGCTTGTTCTGAATTCAAGCTTAAGTGTCCTACTGGTTTTGACACAGTTAGGCTTCTAGGCTCTCCATCTTCTCCCCTCGCTGTAGAGCTTCGAAGAAGAGAAGTGTCAGCTTCCAAGAGAGCTGAGCAAGAAAGAGAGGGCAGGTTCTTTCTTTTAAAGCCTTTCTTTAAAAAAATTATTAAAACAATATAATATCATTACTGTATCAACAAATAGTTTGGGAAATGGTTCTGTTTGCAAGGAGGGACCATGAACAGGTGTAATCCTCTCTCTCTAGTAGTAGCCATTTTGATATTTTATTCCTCCTGGTCTTGGCCTTAGGCATACACATTTCTGCATGAAGTATGTTAGCATTTTGAGTTCTACGTTTTACCCTGGTCACTTTTCTGTCAGTCATAATAATTATAATTTTAAATGACAGCATCAACTGCCAGTTAAATGACTGGACTACAATTTAATTAACTGCTCTTTCCTCATGTGAGCAGTGTGCTGAGGGCCAGGCGGTTCCGGGATTCCAGTGCACATTAGGACAATGGCAGAAGGAATGTGACAGCTCCTCACAATTGTTCTTTCCATTGCACCAGCTCTGTAGGTGGATCCCTGCAGCAGCTTCAACTTTTTATGCCCTTAACTCTGTGACAGGCATTGTGCAAAGTGTGTTCTAACTAGCTTGTTGGTCAGTCAGCACTTGTTCTCACTTTACATGTGAGCACAGTGGAAGAGGTAAAGAAAGGAAGGAATCTCTTTTCATCAGAAACCTTGATGGCCATGTGTCCCCAGAGCACACGCTTTTGCTACTTGCCACGCTCATGCAGGTCTGTCCTAAGAGCCAGCTGACAGGCGGCCAGAGGCACTTTCCTGACCTAAGGGTGGGAGGGGCAACCACTGACACCCACAGTCACCACTCTGGGTCTCTCTCCACAGCCTTATGACAGTCTGCCTACCTCACAGACCTGCTTCTTCCAGCTGCGGCTGCCCCCCTACTCCAGCCAGCTGGTCATGGCTGAGCGCCTGCGCTACGCCATCAACAACTGCCGCTCGATCGACATGGACAACTACATGCTCTCAAGAAACGTGGACAATGCTGAGGGCTCTGACACCGACTACTGACCACCCCCCTTTTTTCAATGATGTTCAGTTCCAATTTAATGTTGATATACTTTTATGGTAACTACATAGATGTTTTAGGAGCATAAACTGATATTATGAACAGTGGCCACACTTAGTTATTTTAAGTGTAACAAAGAAATTAGATGTTTTTATTTTTCTGTGATTGTACAAAAAAAAATACAAGTGCTCTCAGTCAGGTTTCTCCTTCCATATTTTTGGTCACTTTTGATAAGTTTGCATGGAACCATTTTGGTGCATTTTTAGTTGGGAATGGTACATTTTTGTAAACCCACCCAGTGAACATGGAATTGTACATTGTGTATAATTGTTCATTAGAAAGGACAGTTTTACATGAATATTCATATATTTATTTTGTTTTAATTTGAATTGCCTGTGCAGGGTTCCTTATGCAGAGAAATAAAGCTGATACAGGAACCAGTGTGACTGAGAGCGTATTTAGGCTAGTCTCACTCTGATGGCTTTGTGAACCATCAGAAACCTTCCTTTACACTGAGGGAGCTTTGCTTGGAAATACAAAACAGAGGGCCACAAGGACATAGCAGTACGGGGGATGGAGCAGTCCTATCTTCATTACTGTCATCCTGGGTGGCATGGATTCCCCTCACTGCTGGCCCTGCCTCCGCCTCTCGACCCCTCCCCTCGGCATCACCCTTCTTCCTCCTCTGTAGCTGAGCTGCAGTGTACCATGATAATCAGAGCTTTCTTGAGCAGCCCTACTCTAACAGGCAGTTCTTAACTCTGCCTGTGCAGAACAAGTGATGGAATTTAAGAGCAGGGGTGTTTACAAGTTTATGGCCTCTTCCGGGAAGGGTGGCCAAACACCATGTGTACAGAAAAGAAAGCTCTGACTAGTGGGCACTGAGCCTGCAATGAATCACCATGAATGATTGTGCGGATGAATGAATGATCGTGCAGATGAATGAGAGAATGTCATGAACTAATATAAATATGAAGAGTGATGAATGACTTGCATAGGTTTGAATGAGGGATTGTGGGGCCTTGTGCAGGAATTGGGGAAGGGGCTATGCTCTAGGTGTTCAAATCTAGCCCTAATGGACTCCAGGTGATGTGCTCATTTGTTGTTCTGGGAGAAAGGGCCACCTTGAGAGCATCTTCACAGATGCTCTTACTGACCTGTGAGTCAGGTTTGCTGATTTGCTCAAATGAGGTACAGAAAATGCTTGTGAACAGTTGTTTTCTACAAGGAATGTGGAAGGCGTGTGTTTTTAAACATAAATTGGTAGAAAAACATGATTTTGTTGACTAAGATAGTATGGTACATACATCTTTCCCAGTAAGAAATACTAATAATATTTAAAATGATGACATCTTAGTTTTAGCTAAAAGAGGCTTCCATTGGAATTGGGACTCAGAGGGAGGTTATAGCATCTGGGAAGCCCCATGGGATTCTGGGAAAAGACATGCCTTTAGTACTTGATCTGAGTACTCAGTGACAGTGGTGTAATATGCTGATCTGAAGGGTAGGTCTGTAGTCTAAGATTATACTAAGTGAAAATAACACTATAACCTTTGTGTCTCTAGCCTCTCCTACTGTCATCTGTTCTGCATGGAGGAGATGGGGGGAAAGGGTGCCTTCAGCAAATTCCAGGTCATCCCTCCACCTTTTGCCCAGCCTCATGCACAGCCTGCAAAGAGAAGCTGCACAGATGGCTGGGTTTTATAACAGAAGCAGTTTCTTTGCTGAAAACCTGACGTGTGCATTCTCTTAACTCTTGGAAACCCTGAATAGGGGAGGTTTAAGTCCCTGATCTGAGGAACTAAAACAAAACGATGCAGGTGTGTAATTTTCTTAGTTCACTCTCAGCCTATGTAGAGAGGTGAGCCGGTTTTTTGGTTTTCTGCTCTTTCAGTTAACAGATGCTTAATAATAGCTTTTATGCAGCCCTAAGCAGTCCTAAATGAACTCAGCCATTATTCACTTCAATGCTTAGAAGAGTCGCAGACATTGAATCCTATATCCGTAGGAATTCCAGCCTTTAAAGGGTCAAGTGATCTTTTCTTTTGCATACCAAGAATCCAAGGTCAGGAATGGAAAGCAATGAATTATATGTATATCCAGGCTGGAGCTGCAGGACTGACTTTCTGTGAACCACCAGTGGTGAGTCAAAGGTCTCAGTTGTAAGTTCCAAACAATCAACTTGTGCAAAAAAAAGCCAATGTGTCTGTAGTGCCATGAAGGCACACAGCAGGTTTTCTATAATCTGGGCAGATGGGTAAAAGAGAGTTCTGGAGCCCTGGGTGGCTTTTTCAGGCTTTTAATGGTCTTTGTATACCATTTGAAGTGGAGCAACCAAGTGCTGGGCAAGGGAGGGAGTTAGTGTCACTGTGTAGAGACACAGGGAGGTCAGACAGGCCTTCTAGCCCTGGTGAATCTTTACTCTTTCTGGGCTCTTATGCACTCTCTGGTGGGCTCTTTTCTGGTCTCTAGCACCATACAGTCTTCTGCTGCTGCGCACTGTTTCTCTCAGCTCAGGTGCGTCCACTCACTCATGTGCACACCACACTCCAGGTGCTGCCATTAGTCACGTGTGTAAGCCCCACAGGTGTCGCTCACTGATGCTCATGGCGGGAAGATGGAAGAATCCTGATCACTCCCATTTACCCTACAGTGTCCCTTCAAGACACCTCAGAGCAGCGCGTCCCCCCTAGCAGGGAGCAATCGGGAACCCCTGTAAGCACATGTCCTGGGCTGCAAGCAAGAGGTTCCTGTGCTGACCAGCCCAGGACCCTGCCCCAGAGCTGAGGTTCTGCATCTTTGCCCTAGTATTCCCTCTACATGGCTTTGGCTTTCTTGGGCCAAACTGAGATTGGAAAGAACTTACATTCCAGGAGCTGGGCAGTCTGTTCTATAGAGGCGGTGCAGCCACAGATAGCCCCATGCCCTCCCACATGGCTCTGCAACAGGTGATGTTCCCACCACCCTGATTTGCCCTGGAGATAGTCTGGTTGCCTATGCTGACAACGCCCCACAGTGGGAGCCTGTGGGAGCAGGGTTCAGTTTTGCAGAGTTGGCTCAAAGGCTCTTTCCTCCATCAAGCGTCCTTGGATCACCTCTGTCTAGACACACAACTTGATTTTCCTAGCACCTGGGCCTGTAGGTGCCCTGCTTGGTAGCACTGCACATTTAGACACAATCTCATTAGTGTCACAGATTACACGTAAACTAAGGCTCAAGAGAGGTCATAATTTGTCAGAAGTCTGGTCACAGGGCTGAGAGCTCTCAAGAACTCCCTTCACCCCAGCTGCATGTCTTCTAAGTAGTGTGTGAGTCCTTACGGTAGGGCCAATGGCCAATACCCAATAATTGTTTTTGAGATGAATGAGTTGGTGGATTGATAAAGCCTGCAGTACCTTGTTCTATATCTATCTGAGAGAACTTGGCATGTTTTTAGATTAAGCAGGGTACTTTATTCTTTCAGGCAGCAAAGAGTGGCTTTTAGAAGGCAGACTGGAGAGCTTTGGGTCTCTCTCTGGGGGCGCTTTAGGTAGGCTTTGACTCAGGGTCCTCAGAGCGCCCCCCCCCAGGGGCTAGGGACACTAAATTAGAGCCCTATAAACAACTCTGGATTGGTGCTCATTTATAAAATGCCTCCCGTGGGGGAAAAGAAGGGCCTTCTGAGAGGCCTGCAGATCACCCCACTTGAGCTGGGGTTTGCTGTGACCTGTGATTTATAAGTACTATCACATAATTCTTACAAGAACCCTAACCCTCCTAACACACAGCTAAGAAAGCTGAGGAATGTGTGTAAAGGGTTGACCTGCCCAGGCGCCAGGATTGTTTCCCAGACTAAACTGCCAACTCAGGGCGAACCAGACCTGGTGGAAATCACAGTTTTTGGGAGACATGAAAGCAAAGCCCTTGGGGCTTAAGCAGTGCTGTTTGAGACAAACATTTAACTCCCTGGAAGGCTGCGGATTTCTTTCTTTCAACTGTTGTTTGCTGTAGTGGAAGAATAATCAAGTCCCCAAAGGCATTTCCAGGTGTGGAGAGCAATGAAATCATTTTGAGGAAGCCAGGGCCTCCAGGCTTTCGGGGCCCTCCCATTTCTCTTCAGCTGTGACCTGAGGGGGTCTGGCTCTCCCTGCATAGGAATTAGTGGGGGCTTATGCCAGGTTATCTCATTCTGGGATACACCCTCCCTTTGGCATTTCCAGTGGATCCTGGGTGTTGTTTTCATTCATTGTGGTTCTGGAAGAAAGCCACATTGAAACACCTGTGAGGGCTCACTGGTCAGGTTGATGGTCTGCTCAAATGAGGTGCCAAAGTCTTATGGGCAGCAGTTTTCCACAGGAAATGTGGAAGATGTGTGGACAGTCCGGGGCCTAGTGGAGCTGCTTGCCCAACCATCTGTTCTGCTTGGAGAAATTTCAGGGTCCCTGGGCATTCACCTAGATCTGTGCTGGACCCTGCATCCTGCTGGGGACCTCAGACTCCTTATATCCAGGGGCCCCATGAGGCCTCTATAACCTTCCCCATCTTTAATATCACAAATTTCCTCATCTGCTTACCTTTCCTCCTGACTGCTGCAGCTACACTGACCCAGAGGTACCGCTGGCACAACAGTCATGCTCTTAATCTGGGTCTTGGCACTGGCGGTTCCCTCCACCTGTGATAGTTTCTTCCCAATTGCTGTTTGGCTCCCTCCCACGATTCATGTTGCAAATGTGGCCTTAGTTGACCCTCACCTTGGTCAACTCCTTTTAAATTTCTCCCCCTCCCCCTCCCACGGCCAGCAATTCCCAGGTAGCCCCTCTCCCCTTGCTTCACCCTAGTCTTACCATCTTCTATACCGGCTAATTGCCTCTTTCTTTCCCCACTAAAATAGAAGCTCCATGAGAACAATTTGTGTTTTTCCTTGCTGATCCTTGCCCCCACCCCCACCCCCCGCTCATATTTGGGCTATGATTGAGAGCCCGTGAGAAGAGATCAAGATTCCCTTTCACAAAGAAGCACCTGGCCTCAGGTGGGGAAAGGGCCACAGCTGTGAGGGGCGGGGCCGAGCGCCCGCCAAGCCCACCGCCCGCGGGCTCCCAGCCGCTCCTCCGCCCGAGCTGCCCCCCCCCCGCCCCCCTCAGGCCCGGGCCTGGAGGTTGCTGGGTGGCCGAGCACCTTTACTTCAGTGGCTGGTGTGACTGGCGCCCTGAGACCGAAGTGCAGGCGTGTGCCCACGTTCAGCAAATCCGGTAGGTAAAACTTTGTGTATGTCGTTTTATTATCAACGGACTTAACCAGGGCTGCTTTTATTCGTAAATCTTTGCTTTGGGCTTCCTTTATATGGAAGCAGTAGGGAACAAGGGTAACGGTGGTGGACGGAAGAGTCAAGTCAACCGGCGCGCTGTGCAGACGCGGGTGTGCGGCCGGCTCGGCGGCTTTCTCGGCCCCAGCGCCCCGGGTTCCTCCCGCCCACAGCCGCGGCGCTAGTCTGTGTCTGCGCCGCCGGCGGGGATGAGGGCCCCGCTTCAGCCCTTCTGCTTGGTTCCCAGGGCGCTTCGGCGACCTCTGAGTGCCACCCCTCGGCTTCTGAGTCAGTCCCCGAGAAAGGGGCAGGCACCCCCCCCCCCACCCTCCCACGACCGCCGCTGGGGCGTCACCCCGTGTACAGAAAGGGGCGGGGCGGGCGCCGGGGTTTGCCGAGGACGCCAGTGGTTTGCAAGCACCCGGGCTTTTACTCCCTTTTCATCCTAAGTCAAAACCATATCGTGAGGTAGGCGTTAGCACCCCCTTTTTGCCTACGGGGAAACTGAGGCTCAGAAGAAATGGCGGCAGTCTGTGAGGTGGAGCCTCTGGGGTTCGATGCCAGGTCGCTCCTTCCGCCCTGGGAGCCTCGGCCGAGTGTCCCACCCGCTCCGGCCTAGTGCGGCAGCAGCTTGCGGAGACTCGGGCCGGGCGCCTGCTGGCCGCAGGCCGGTTGATCCGGGATCATGGCCGCGCTGTGCTCGGCGCGCAGGGCCAGGCGCGGGCACGCGGAGCGCAGGTGGCTGAGGCCGGCCGCGCTCACGTTGCGGCAGAAGTCCACGTGCAGCGTCTGCAGCGCGTGCCCGTGCGCCGCCACGGCCGCCAGCGTGCGGTTGGTGACGCGTGCGCAGTTCTCCAGGCGCAGTGCGCGCAGGCGCGGGCAGCAGCGCAGCAGGCGAGCCAGGCAGTCGTCTGTGACGTGGCCGCAGCCCGACAGCGTGACGGAGGCCAGGTTGGGGCACCTGCGGAGACAATGTGGCAACCGCCGCCGAGGCCGGGAGGGTTGATCAGAGGCCGGCCGCCCAGTCCGGAGCTCACTGTCCCTTTAGCCCTCATGAGCCCTGGAGTCTGGGGGCGGGACTGTGTGTTTGACAGGCATTAAGGGACTCGCCTCCGAGTCCGGAGCTGCCAGGACTTCCGTCCCATTTCCCCAGCTCTTTCCGCTTCTGCTGCCCACTGTACTTTAATCCTCGTGGGCTCTTTAAGCCAGGGCCCTGATACAGAGCCTGAACGCTGAGGCTGCTGTGAGATAGAAGGGGGCCGCGGTAACCGGTCTCCCCTGTCGCCTTGGGTGGGGCCATGGGAAGCTCTGGGTGCCTGGAGCTGGCTCCAGCCCAGCCTCTTGTTGAAGCTGGGGAGAGAAGGGAGGAGGGGTTTCCAGTGGGGTGGCTTAGTGACAGGCCTTTTGAACCTCGAACTATGCAAGGGCACTCTGAATCTGGGCCCCAGATTGTGGAGCCCGGGTTTCTGCTCAATTTACTAGGCAGTTTCTGCATGTCCACAGGTCACCGGCCTGGAAACGATAGGGAATGGGAAGTAACTAGAAGGCCTGCTGTGAGTATAGTCTGCTCGTCCAGAAATTGGGAGGCCTCTGTGGCCCAGCCTTGTTAGCACCTGCTGAAGGGAAAGATCTTGAGCAAAGTTAGACTTGGCTTATTTGCAGTGTGACCTTGACTACGTCACTTTGTGTGGGGGTGGGAGGGAGGGAAGCAGGGAAAGAATGTATGGTAGGATTCTGAGGATTGAGCAAAACTGGTGTAAACAGGCTGCACAGGGTCTTCTATGGTAACCCACCTTTCCTGGGACCAGAGTGCTTATAGTCAAAAAGAACCTGGATTCAAACCCTGGCTCTCTGTAGCCAGAGGGAGCTGACCTCTGGACCTTTCCTGTGCGTCCCCTCCACCCCCCATCAGCCTGTCCCCTAGTCCCTTGACTTGGCTGGCTTGGGCCAATTCCATGCTTAGGGAAAGGGGTGAGGAACTAAATCAGACTGGGCACAGCCACACTTCACACACTGAACCCACCTATTGTATCTTCCCGAATTCATACTCCTTCCTTTGGTTGTCACATCAGCCCTCTGCACCCCCAGTGCAGAGAGGTCAAGCAGCTTTCCTGTGACTTAATTTGCTGTCTGAACCTTGCTGGGCCACCCTTCAACTGTGGGAGAAATAGTTCCCTTCTTGTGGTTATGAGGATTAGTTTTCTAAGCCCCAAGTAATTCTTTTCTTTCAGAATCTTTAAACAACTGGTTGCAGGGGAACAGGTTCCATGCTTCTCTCATCCCCTCCTCAAAGCTGACTGCCAGAATAAGGAAATGTGGCAGATACCTGTGCTACCTGCCGTGTTCTAGCTCTACTGTGCGTCATTTAATCCTTTTAGCTTAGGTGAAAAGATGTCATCCCATTTCGCAGGTGAAGAAATGAGATTGAAAGAGGCTCACTTGATCAGACAGTAGCACAACTGAGGGATTCAACAAGAGTTCAGCCCTCGCCTGTTCCATCGTCCTCACACCTCATCTTCCAGTTTAATGCCTTTGTTAAGATCATAAAAATCGCCTGGTTCTGTCCCAGCCCATCCAATCAAGTCCACCTTCTCTTTCTTCCTACTGCCCTTAAAAACAAAACAAAACAATATGGGGCCATTACATTATTTGCTGTTGTCATACTGCCAGCAGATAGCAGCTATTACACCTGGGTGGCAACAGACTGGTTGAGCCCAGTTTGTTATAATCAAGGGGTGCCTTAACTCAGGCAGGACTGGGCTGGTAAAGGCTCAGTAAGAGCCTGGCAGAGCTATCTGCATTCTCTTGGGGCCTAGCAGGAAGCTGTGATGGGGAGGGAGCCTGGCCTCTCTTTCTATGGTAGGATTGGCAGAGCAAATCTAGGAAATACTTACACTGCCAAATTATTCCATTATCTGAAAGTCAAAGTTAACTGGGTGTCTTGAGTTTTTATTTACTAAAATCTCAAGATCCTAGACCAGGAGTAGGGAGGCAAATCACACAACCTCTCAGAGCTTTGGTTTGAAAAACTGGGCTTAAAACACCCTCCTTTAGGGTATTATAAGGTGAGGAAACCATTCTTGAGGAAATGGGAACATTATATCACCACTTCTGCTCCTGGAAAAGCAGGAGCACCACTCCTGCTGACTCTATTGACTGTGTCCTGGGGCCTGACCTTGAAGATTCAGGCCCAGCAGGACCCATCTGGTAGGTAATGGCCAGGGAGGACAGCTACCCGAAGGACAGCCTCAGCTGCAGCCCTAGGACCTACGGTTAAGGGGAGGGTTGGCACTTGCCTCCCCCATGGTTTTAGCCCTTTTCTGCTATGTGGATGGAAAGTCTGCTTGGGGCCTCCCTGGGGCTCCCCAATATGGTGCCTCTGGCCTTGTAATAAAGGTGGCCTTGTAATGAAGTCTCTCCGCCCTGGTACCCACCACACACACATAGCTCCCTGGGGGCCGTGGGGGGCCGGGTGGCGCAGGGGTGGGGGTGTAGCCAGCAGACCCAGCACTGCAGCTGCGGAGGCGGCCTACCTGTCGCCCACCTGGAGGAGGAAATCGCTGACCAGACTCTCGTGCCGGCTGCAGATGCTCCTCTGCAGGGCGCTCTTGAGCCAGTCCTCGATGCTGCACACCCGCACGCGGCTGGAATGCCAGCAGATGGAGAGGCTCCGGAGCGCGGGGCTCAGGAGGAAGTTGTCCTTCTTGAGTTCTGTCAGGGAACGAAAGTGCAACAGGGGCCAGAGTGTAGGATCCTCAAACACGTCCTGGAGCTGGGGGCAGGTCCTGGCCAGGTTTTTCCTGCTGTCTCTGTCCAAGAAGGAGAAGAGGTGCAGCAGGCACTCACGGTTGAGCTGGGTGATGTGCATGGTGTGTGGCGGCCTCAGGGAGTGCGGCTGGAGCCCAGGGACCTGACCTGCCTCCCGCTGCCCCTCCCGGGCTGGGCTGGTGGACATATATGGTTGAGGAATGGGGTTTATTTTTGGCTAACAACTGGTGCTGAAGCTCCGAGGAGGGGAAAGCCAGGATCCAGACATACGTGCAGCAGTTCGGCTTATGTTCAGAGGAATTGAAAATCCTGGCAGAAAAGCAGCCTATTGAAGTTACATAGTTTCCTTAAAAGGGATTTCTTCTCCTTTTAGCTGACAATGGTGTTTAGCAGAGAGCTCTTTGACTTTTCCAGAAGCACTTTCATTCAGAGTGTTTGGCCAGACCACCTCAGTCTGGGAAACTATCTTTAGAGGAAGAGACTTGTTCCACAGAAGCCAGTTCTCCATCAAAGGCCAAGGGTCTTAGTTCATGCTCAGAGCTATAGAAACAACACCTCTGTGCTGCTATGTATGTTTTTCTTCTTTTTCATACTTTAAAGATTTCCCTTCTGGGCTTCATGGTTTCAGAGGGGAGTTCCATTATCAGTTGTTCAAAATATGTAATAGGTTGTTTTCCCTGCAGTTTTCAAAATACACTCTTTGACCTTCAACAGTTTGAGTGGCATATGGGCTTCTATTTTTGCTCAGTGATGGTGTCCAGGCTCGATGGAAGGACAGTTAAATTTCCCTCCACCAGGCAAAGGATTTCCTTGGCCGCCCAGCTGCCTCTTTTACCTGTTAGTTTCATGAAAGACTTATCCTGGGTAGCTTTTCTCTTCAAGGCTCTGCTGTGAGGGTGTTTTAAATTTAAGTTTACATGGTTTAACATGTTTCTAGTTGTATGTCCTCCTGCTGTATCTAAGCTGTATTTCTCCAAATGTTAGGACGGATGAGGTAGCTCTTAATGCAAAACTAGTTGAAACGATCGTAATTTCAAGGGTTTTGTCTCAGCTGGCTCTTTAAACCCCCATATCAGCCTCAATCAGTAGCCTTGAATGTCTCATTTCCTTAGAATAACAGGGTCCTCTGTGTTACTCCCATCCCAGCACCCACCCAAGGGAATTGGGTGGTTGCTTTCAGTAAGAACTGGTCTGCTCCTTTGTTTAGGGGGTGCTGGGCATCAGGGCTGCTCTGTCTCTGCAGCAGTGGTGAGGAGGAATGCTTTTCCTCTGCCAGCCAGGGACTCCCACCCTCGTGATCACCTACGTCCATTCTTCAAGTTTATTAGCAAGGGAAGTCCAGGAACATTGTTTTCAGTGTGTTGAGCCACCAGCCAGGCAACAATGCTGGGTCCTCTTTTGGAGCTGAGGCTTGGTCAGACCCAGTACAGTGGAATGCAGTTCAGTAAAGAAAGTATCCATTCTGGCCAGTGCCTGACTCTGAGACACCAATGTCACTGTCCGCTGGCTCTTATTACTACACTACAGCCATGGAACAAATTTTCTTTAAAGTCACATAAGCCAAGAAACAGCTAAAAGCATTTCTCAAGGAAAGGCTAACTAGCTGCTGCTGACATTTCAAGTTCATTATGTTCTAGTTGTACAGCTCCTATTCACAGTCAGCTACAGATTTAAAGCCAGTTCTCTCTCCTTCCCTCCTAAAAAATTTTCCAGAAACCTGACTCCTGGAAATAGGCAGTTCTATCAGCTTCTTAAAAGGAAGAACCATGGAAGTGCACTGGCCCCTGGGAGAAGTCATGTTAGTCACTGTGGCTTCCCAGATGCCTCTGTAGCCCTGCGGACATCCCAGGCCCTGGCAGGTTGCTGTCCACACCTGGCCTTGTGGGTGGGTGCAGGAAGCAGCCCAGAGTCCAGGGAGGCTCCCAGGCCAAGCCTCCCTTTTCCCTTGTGTGGTGCTGGGCTCCTAGGTGCAGGAATAGCAGCTGTGCAGCCTCCAGCCAAGGACCTACAGGACCAACAGCAAAACCATCTGAGCTGCAGGCACTTCTGTCTACAGCTTTATTTATTTATTTTTAATATTTATTTATCTGTACAGAACTAGGGTACAGAGCAGAGGTGTGGGGTGGTGAAAGTATTCAACAGAGTGGGGAGCAGAACAGGCAGATTGACGAAGTACACTGTTGAGGGGAGCAGCGAGCAGGTCAAGAGAGGGCTGCTGCGCCATGTGGGTCACCTCCGGGGCTGGGGATTGAACTAACACTAAAGCAGCTGCAGCTAGCTTGCAGTATTGTGTTTTAACTTGTGCCACGAGGGAGGACCTGTCTGTAGTTTTAGAAGACTGACAGCAACAGGCAAATCAGTGACAAAAAATAAAAAACAATAACGGTGTGACTGGGTTTTCTGTCTGCAGAGGATTGGGGACAGAGAGCTAAAATGTGGGCGCTTACTCTGAAGTAGGAGTTTTTAATTATATTTTTTATTATATATATATATATATATTTACATCATTCTTCACTTTGTACATTTTTTTCACCTTGACTGTAATCCACATGATCTTTCACCATCCATTCACCCATGTGTGCCATCACCATAGTCCTGTGAGCTCTTCCCACCCGAGTTTTGATCCTATTCCCCTCTCCACCCCCATAGAATATCTCTGGTTTATAGTTGTTTGTTGATTTTTGTTTCTACTTTGTTACAATTGCTTCTGTATTTTTCTTTTTCTGATCTCTCTTACCCCTGCTATGAGTAAAACCATCTGGTATTTTTCTTTCTGGCTTATTTCACTAAGCATGATCCCTTCCAGCTCCATCCATGTTGTTGCAAAAGGTATGAGTTTATATTTTTGATTGCCTAGTAATATTCCATTGTGTATATGTACCACATCTTCTTGAACCAGTCATATATTTTTGGGCACCCTGGTTGCTTCTGTAGCTTACCTATTGTAAATTGTGCTGCAATAAACACAGGGGGTCCTTTTGAATTAATGTCTTTGTATCCTTTGGGTAGATTCCTAGGAGTGGAATTGCTGGATATTATGGAAATTCCATTTTTAGTAGTTTAAGGAACCTCCACACAGCTCTCCATAGTGGTTGGAACCAGTTTGCATTCCCACCGGCATTGTAGTTCCTTTCTCCCCACATCCTCACCAACATTTGTTGTTGCTAGTTTAATTTGTGCCATTCTTACTGTTATGAGGTGGTATCTCATTGTGGTTTTTACTTGCATTTCCCTGATTACAAGTGCTGTCGAGGGCCCTACCTGGTGGCACAGTAGGTTAAAGGTGCAGTACTGCAAACTAGCTGTAGCCACTTCAGTGCAAGTTCAATCCACGGCCCTGGAGGTGATCCACAAGGCACAGCAGACCTCTCCTGCCCTGCCTGCTGCTCCCCTCAGCAGTGTACTTAGTCAGTCTGCCTGTTCTGCTCTCCACTCTGTCTCTGGTGAATCTTCTCAACTGCCCCTGCACCTCTGGCCAGTTCTGCATGAATAAATAAAGCCTTTTTTTTTTTTAAGTGATGTTGAACATTTTTTTCATATGCTTGTTGGCAATCTGCATTTCTTCTTTGGAAAATTTTTTTTGCTCTTTTGCTCATTTTTTGACTGGGTTGTTTGTTTTTGTTGACCTTCATTAGCTCTCTATCGATCTTTGTGATCAATCCTTCATCATTAGTATTGTGTGAAAAATTTTCTCTCAATCAGTGGGGTGTCTTTGTTTTGTGTAATGCCTCTTTTGCTGTACAGAAGCTCTTTATTTAATTTGATGTAGTCTCAGCTGTTTATCCTTTCCTTTACTATCTTTGCTTTGGGTGATATAGGTCTAAAGATGTTACTGAGATGAATGTCATGTAGTGTTTCACCAATATTGTATGTATTTTATGGTATGGGTCTTATGTCTAGTTCTTTAATCCATTTTGAGTTGTTCTTTGATGTATGATGCAAGGTAATAATTTTTTTTTTTTGGTACATAGCCATTTTCCCAGCACCATGTTAAACAAACTTCTTTGTTCCATTTGCAATATTGTTTGCTCCTTTGTCACAGATTAGCTACCCATAAAACTGTGGGTTTATATCTGGGTTTTCTATTCCAATATGTTGGTCTGTATGTCTGTTCTTGTTCCAGTACTGTGCAGTTTTGATTGTTATGATTTTGTAGTATAGTTTGAAGTCTGGGTGCATGATACCTTCAGGACTAGGATATTTTTTAACAATGGTAACTATTTGTTTTACTTCAAAAGATGAGCACTATTCTTTGCTCAGACCTCTAAAACTGGTTCTTCAGGGTAGAGACTAGCTTTGAAGAAGGTAAGTGGGCCTTGTTTTGCAAAGACCTGCAGTTACTAGGGAGACAGGGCAGTTACCAGGGGAGCCAGGACAGTGTATTGCTGAGGGTGGTACCCCCCCACCACACAGTTCATGGCTATCATGGCCCTTTTCCCATCGTAGCTAAGATGGTGAGGGTTCTGTAAGACCTTGCCACCCAGTGGTTTGGCTGGTGAGGCCCAGAATGTGAGTGTTTCACCATTTATTTGGCTCCACTAAAAAAGTACAGAAATAAATAGTCCAAAGATAGAGACCAGACCTTTAATGATACTTTCCATAAAACAGCTCAGTGTGGTGAAGCGGAAGAGATGTGGTTACAGTTTAAATGAAATGGGTCACTTGCACAATTAACCCTCTCAGCATCATACAAACTAGATTTTAATGGCAAATGATCATGTCACAGAACAATCAGCACTAGTAGGAGGTGCTCTGGGACCCCTCACATTCAGACCTAAGGGGAATGGTGCTACAAAGGAGAAGAGGCAGCCTCTTCCTGGGAGCACTGAGGCTGCACTCTGGTCAGGCTGTGCCCTTGCTGCAGGAACAGACTTCTCTCGTGAGCTTTTCCAGAAGGGAAGAGGCCACGTTAGCAACAGAGTACATGAGAGAGCTTAGGGGGTCATGGATTTTGAAGTGGGATAAGTGTATCTAAATAGACTTATGTACACTAAACCAATGAAGGAGAGGTTTGGGTGTAAGAACTAAATATGTCTCTGACCCCAGAAACCAACCTGCTGAACAGGTCCCACAGGTAAGATACACATTTAACACTTAACCAGGGCCAACACATTTACTGGTTTAATTCTATTACATTTGTCATCACTAGACACTGAGTAGAATACAGTGGATAAGCAAAGGTTTCTCCATCATGGAGAGAGATTTGTGTTGCCACAAACTGTATCTATCACCCCATGTGGGAGGACTTCTGGGAAGGTTTTCTTGTTCTGAGGAGCCATGTGACTGGCGAGGCTCTGCCTCAGCAGGAGCTCTCTAAGCAAGAAGCCACACCCACACTAGAGACTGCCTGGCACAGGGAAAAACCCCCGAACACAAAAAGATTAGCTTTAAAAATTGGTGTGATAAGGCTATACAGTTAATTTTTTAAAATACAAACAGGCACATTTACATCTCTGGTGTTCAAGTGCACGATTCAAACAGACCCAACCACTTTTCCAAAGAGCCTTCATGATATCATTTGAACATTTCTGCTTAAGTAAAACCAAGCAATAACAACATTAAAAAAAAAAACAGACATGTTCATGTCTCAAGTCAACAGTGTTGTCTGTCTGATGTCCCAACAAAGCAGTCCAGACTGTTGCTAAGTTCCATTTGGTATAAAAAGACAACTTTTCTTCATCAACATCAACACTGCCCAAGGCTTTATTAAGTCATAAAAGCTGCCCAAAGAGACTAAAATGTCTAAGTGCAAAGGTTAGGAGTTATGGCTTTATGCCTTCTAAGCAAGAGCCTGGATTCACTGGAAATACTTCGCAAGCTCACTGGAAGTGCCTTTGAAGTTCAATTAGATGTGGTATGAATCTATCAATGTATTAATTCATATTATGTGAAGCTCATTTTTACAGATCAAAGCATGGCACAGTTTCCTGTGGGTCAACCTAATGTAACTTAGCATTATGAACTACTTTAAATCCAAGTTTCTCTCTTCTAGACTCTAATTTCTAGGACCTAAATATGATCGGGAAGCTTTTTTCTCTGGAGTGAAAATCGATACAGCCCTGAGGACTACAGTAGAAACCCTAAGGACTGCAGTCCTGCACCACATTTGATGGACAGGCTCTTGGGATGTGGCCAGTGTGATTGAAGATCATTTTAATTAAAATTGAAATAACTCCATGTGGCTAGTGACCTCTATACTGAATAGTGTAAGTTTAGACATGATTGCAATTTGTTGAGTCATGTTAAAGTGTTCAGCAGACGTGTTCAGCTCTGAGAAAATGTGTTTAGCCACTCTTATTAAAATGGGAATACAGCCACATCTTCTGCAACTTCAGATATCTGACCTATGAAGACAGCCCCAAACTTTGTTTTACATTTTGAAAATTCTGACCATTTTTCTTTTAATGCAAAAACAGTACCAAAAAGTGTGGTTGCCTGGCTTAACATCATATAGTTCTGCCTCTCATAACAACTCGAGAAGGGAGAGAATGGTGATGGGGACAAGAAATAACCATGGAAACAGTGTGTGGTCTATGCTGCTGGCCTTTTGGAGTCCCTCCTTATTTGGTAATTTGCAAGTCATGCAGCCACCATTCCAAAATCAATAGACTGGCTTAACAGGATTGCAGAAATCACAATTATTTTTTTTTACATGAGGTTCTAATTCCAAATTTCAATTTGAGTTAAATTCAAATAGTGTATGTACCTATTTCTCTTAATTTAAAAAGACTACTAAACTCAAGAATAGAAATTCTACTTACTCAGTATTTTCAACTTGCTTTACTATCAGGATAGGCCAGTGAGAGTTTTTAAACCAGAGTAGAAAAGACACTAATTTCCTTCTACAGAAGCAGATCTCAGTGTTACCTGAAGCATAGGTGGTGTTCAAAATCAACTCTGGAAATTGGCATCCGAACCTCAGATGGTCAAATATGGAGTAAGACTAAAGCAGACATGTAGTTATCACTGGTGTAAAAACTGATGGGGAATAAGATGCTGATTCAAATAGATAAACAGAAGCTCTGGTTTTATCTCACTGGTAACACCTACACCATATAGCTGAGTCACAGGATTTTTAAAACACTAAATGCATTTGGTCTTGTATTTGGACTTTCTGTATTCCTATCTTCTCCACAAAAACACACACAAAAAAGTCCCCATCCCCCCAAAAAATAACCTTGAATATGCAGCCCAGGTACAACTGAACCAACACATTTATTTCATTAGTGCTGATAAACAGCAGCTTTGAGAGCTAGCGAGAGTGGTGATTACCTGGGCCCTCTCAGTTATCTTTTACAAGCCAAAAGAATGATTATTGAGCAGTTGCTGAAATCTTGTTGGCCACAACAAGTGGACACGTGATCCTTGATTCAGAGTCAACCTGATCTTCAGTACAGCTGTGAAAGGCAGCAGGCAGTTATGTTGCTCCTCACAATCAGGAACATATCTTGCTTTCAGCATGTGAGTAACAAGCATTGATGTAAATGTGCCTCATTGTGAGAACTGAAAACATTAATATAAAAAAGTCAAGTAGAACTAAGTTCTTGAAACTACATATAAAAACTGAATTATTACAACTAAAGCAGCAAATCAAAATATCTGCTGAGGTTTTCTGGTAGAACTAAAAAAAAATTAGTTGGTGCCCATGTTCAATAAGTCACTACCATCGACAACATAAAACTAACTTCAAAATAGGAAATTGAAAAGTGCATAATGAAATTAAATCTTGATCAAGTATTTATGGAGAATTGGAAATGTTTGTCCGGTATAGTTGATGAATAATGATTGAGAGGAGGTATTAAAGTTTATCCGATCCAGCTTTGGCCTGGCGTTCCACGTAAAAAAGGATGTAGGCCTTTGCCTTGACAACGGTGTCTTCATCAGTCAGTGTTACAGTACTGTCATTGAAATGGAACCAGCGACCTGCATGAGTGGCATATGCTGTGTAATGTCCAGAACCAACCCTGCAAGGAGAAGCCAAGAGATCAAAGAAAGACTACAGAAATCAAGGATCTGTACAAAAATCAAGGATCTGTGCAAAAATCAAGGATCTGTGCAACTTTGTCTTATAACAATAAGTACTAAAAAGTACAGTACAATTAAAGACTGAATCCTAGAGACTGTGGTTTAAGATGATTGCTCATGTGTTTCTCCTCAAAACCCACTGAAATGATGAAAATGAATACTACTAGCCAAAAGGGAAGAATGCCAGCAACTGAAGAGAAATTGAGAGCACATATTCAGGTGGCACTGGATGAATGGAGTAATCCAGCAGCACCACTCTAGGTACTCTCAGCCCAATAAGCACAGAAGACAGGACCAGGTTTCCCCTCAGAATCTCAGAAGCTGAGTTTGGGAAAGTGAACTTTCTCTAGGGAAACACTCCCCCTATGTTGGCTCTTCAAGGGCTTTTGTCTTCCCCCTCTCCCCTCAACAATTAGTTCACACATAACCCTAGACTCAGACCATTTCCCCAGGCAGGAGAAAAGGTAAACAGAGACCTTAGTAACTACTAAATTATTGCTAGGTTAGCATTTATTTACCAACAATGATCATCTCATCTCAGCCTTTATTGTGATTGTGAATAAGCAACAACAACAACAAAATCATCACATTCTCCAGGGGAGAAAAACAGCATGAAAGAGAGCTACTAGGAACAACCAGTAAAGCAATTAGCCACTGAGAACGTAAAAAAAAAAAAAAAATGATTTCAAGAAGAAACTGCAGCTATAGATAATAGGCTGTTAAGAAAAAGCTATCAGAAAAGTATGATTGCCAACAACATAAAAACTTCATGGAGAAGCTATTCTTCAACTTAGATATGATGAAAACCCTATTGATAGAAAAATAGTTTATGGTAGTCTTCCAAATCAAAGAGATGGAAATCATTAAAGAATAGTTAAAATATGTGAAAGATTAATCCAGGGAACCCACTATACATTTAATAATGGTTCTGGAAGAGAGAATGATTAGGATAAATAAACATTTCCATGAGCTGGAGACCCCAGGCTGAATGCCTGTACAACTATCATGCTATAATTTTTGAAGATGGGGCTCCCTTAGAATTAGACTTGTGGAAGGAACTTGTCACTTGTAACTATGAATGGCAAAGTCAATGGAACATGTCTACAAAGTTTTGAAGTAGATTTTCAAAATAGGTAGTAGTTTACCCAATATCATTATGGAAATTAGAGCTGTTTCTTTTTTAGTCCAAGTTGAAATAGCCATTCTCAGACAACTGAAGATATAGGCCCAAGCACAAACTTAGGAAAGAAAGTAATCAGGAATGTTATTCAACAAAATAATTTTCCATTTTCCCTCATTTAAGTATCAATTAGCAAATAATTAACTTTGGAGTAAACTACTCAAGATGTTGTTGACACAACTGAGTTCTGAATGCTGGGGTCCTAGGAACCTTTCTTCAGGAATATTCTTTCACAGCAAAACTGAAGGAAAGTCCTACTTAACCCACTTTACTGTATCTGAATCCACTTTTTAGGGAGTTCAGGGAGAATTACCAAAGAAGATCCAACATGCGCTTTTCACCATCCCATGCCCGACCACACAAAGTCTACCCACACACTCACCCGGACCCGTGGTGCACAACTACGGCCGCCAAGTCGTACAGGCAGCTTTCGGGGCCACTGTTTTCAGGCTATGAAACAAGGGAGAAGCCATCAAAGACTGAATTAGGAGCAGTGGTCAAAGATAGTAACATCTCAAGGAATTATACCTTCCCAAAGGTAGACTTAATTTTCATGAAGTGCCATCTTACCTCTAATAAGTAGCATTTCATATCTAGGCCTCTCAGTGGAAATTCTACATATGTGTCAACTTTGTTTCGTAAATATGCTGTCCAATGAAACCTTTTCAAATGTAAGCAGAGCACCTGGATGAGAGAGAAAAACAAAGACTGTAAACAAACACCTAGCTTAACTTTTAGTCAAAATTAAGTATTTGGTACTTAAGTGTCTCAAATAATATCTTTAAGTGACCTATCAATTTTCAGAGTTTGGTATTTTTTTTCTCCTCAGTGCTGCTTTCTTCCACTTATATGTTCTTGTGAATTGTGGTTTATAATAAGGAATATGTATTCTTCATCCCTTGTCAGGCACAGCTCCTAAAACCTTTGGGATTTTCTGAGTGAAGAGATGTAAAGTTTCTTCTTATGTTAATGAGGTAACTTTTGGACCACACCTATGAATAGGAGCTGGTTGCCAAACAAGTGATTCCTGGCTGGGAGCTTTCAGTCCTATGTTATGACCTCCCAGGAGGGGAGTAGGACTGGAAATTGGACTGCCAATAGCCAATGAATTAATCGTTTGTGTCTACATAATGAAGCCACCATGGGACTAGGCTGACACTCCATAAAAACTCCAAGCGTCGGCCCTCCTTGTTGGCGCAGCAGGTTAAAGCACTGCACTAAGAAGCTGAGACCACTTCCGCATGAGTTCGATTCCCGCCTGCCCCGGAGGTGACCACATGGCGAGGCAGACCTCTCCTGACCCGCCCGCTGCTCCCCTCAGCAGTGTACTTCGTTGATCTGCCTGTTCTGCATCCCGCTCTGTCTCTGGCGAAGTCTTTCGCCACCCCTGAGTCTCTGGCCTGTACCCCAGTTCTGTATGCACAAAAATAAATCTTTAAAAAAACAAACAAACAAAAAAAAAACTCCAAGCGTCTAAGTTTGGACAGCTTCCAAGCTGGGAAACCAGAATACTTTTTAGATGTCACCCGGTTAGGTCCCAAATTCCATGAGGACAGAAGCTCCTTTGGTTGGGATCTCACCTAGTGTATCTCTTCACTCGGTTGTTGGTTGCTATCCTTAACATCGTTGGTGATGAATCAGTGATGCAGTGACTAAACATGCGTTCTGAATTGTATGAGCTGCTCTAGCAAACTAATTGAACCCAAGAGAGGGTCATGAGGACCTCCAACCCATGGTTCACTGATCAGAAGCCTAAGGTAACAACAACCTAGTCTTGCAATGGGCATCTGAAGTGAAGAGTGGTCCTGGGATGGAGCCTTTAATCTGATTGTTTGTTCTGGTGGATAGTGTGGGAATTGAGTTCAACTGTAGAAAACCAGCTGGTGTCAGATTACTTGCTGATGGTGAGGTGGGAATCCTCTACTCCCCTGTCCCATTCTCACACACTGGACTGTAACCAGGACACATTTACTTAAGCATTCTCAGGGGGCTTGTTTAGCTTTTACTGAACTCCCTAAAGACCAATAAAGAAAGATCAGAGATGAAAGTTACAGAAGTGTTCTCCTCAATCATTAGTACTTTCCCCTCATAAATGCACTTACCACTTACCTTGGGTAGTTTTTGAATCCAAAACTTCTTAGTGGACTTTTGTTTCTTTTTGCATTTGTGGCACATATATAACTCTGTTTCATCAAGTTCTTCTAAGTCGGTAAAACTGCGAAGACAATCTAAAACCAAAATGATTTTGGGAACATTAAAATAAAATACATTTTACAGGGTAGTATACTTAGAAAAAAGACTGTAAACTTTGAAGCTGAACAAATCCGGTGCAAATCTCAGCTTTACTAGTTACTGGATCTTAGAAAAAGCCAGCCTTTTTCAGTTGTAAAAGGCAGACAAACTGTAATGCCTACATTGAGGAACCATGGTGAAGGAATTGTATGTGTAAAGTTCCTAGCGTCACACTTGACACCCAGCCATAGTCAATAAGAGATACACTCTTGTTAATGGATGAGAATGAATTAGTCTGGATAATTCTGATAAAAATGGGTCCCAAATCAAGTTCAAACAGCAGTTTTCTCAGTATCTTAAAATAAAGAAGACAAAACCCCAAGTTCATAAAAAATGTCAAATTTAGTTCATTTTCACAGTAGTAACCTAACTTATACACAGATTCCTAGGCAACATTACCAGCCCTCATGGGACCCCTCCAAGGAGGCCTTTCAGAGTCGAAAATCCCCCATGTGAATCACAGCTACGTTGTTCTTTTAAAGATTTGTATAATCTGAAATTTGATTTGTGTAATCAAAGTTTTGTAAACTTTGGCTCAGAGCCAGACCAAACCACCTGGTTTTGTAAATAGGGTTTTGTTGAAATACAGCCATGCCTATTTGTTTTTATTGTATCTGTGGCTGTTTTTACACTATGATCACAGAGTTGAATAATTGGGACATAGACCTTAAATGTTGAAAAATTCTGAAATATTTACTACCTGACCCTTTATGGAGAAAGTCTGCCAATTCCTTATGAGTTTAAATATATTCAGAAGTCTAAGTAAAACATATGTACTGCTCTATAGAGATAATATTATTAAAGATAATATCCTTTTCGGAGAAAAATATGAATACCAAAGGCCTTACCACTCAAGGAAAGAAATGGGTTTTCTCCCGTATGTGAAATGGTGTTACCATGCGTGGCTGTGCCCCATGAACCACAGCCCAGGGAGGAGACTCCTGTGGGCGTCTCTCCCCAGTCTGAGCCCTCCCACACCCCCAGAGTGGCCAGCATCCTGACTACATCCTCACTTGTAAACTCTTTGCTATCTTTATAGACCATGTATTTGTCTGTGTGTCTCCTTAAACTATATTTAGTCTGAAAGGACAATTTGGCAAATATAACAACACTGTCTTTCTCTTTTTAAGTGATAATCAGTACTGGCTTCTCCATGTGTGTAAGAAATTGTCCCTTCATGCCCCTTAGTGGGGCAAGACCAGCAGGTCTTAGCTGTGGGTTGTGTACAGCACCATGCTGGATGTTGTATCCCCATGACTTATTTTATAATGCAAATTTTAACTCCTTTCATCTATTTGTCTGCCCTAACTCCTGCCTCTGTTCTCTTTATTTGTGAGTTTGGTTTTTTTGGTGGTTGTTTTAGATCCATCTAGTAAGTGAGTGGATACTTTTCTGTGCCGCAAGATTCATCCATGTTGAAACAAAACAAAAAATTTTAATGCCCCACTTTTTATTTACCCATTCATCTATAGGGTTCTTTTGTGGTTCCATATGAATTTCAGTAACGTTTGCTAATTTTCTTTCAAGAAAGCCATTTAATTTTTTTTTATTTATTTAAAGAATAAGTTTATTAGAAAGAGACAGGAGAGGAAAAGACACTTGCATAGGCACAAGAGGGCAGGAAGAGCTGCCCCAGAAGGGACAGGTTTGCAGAGAAAGAGACTTGCATAGTTGCAGGCAGACAGCCTAAGGAGAGAGTGGCCTCCACTGAGGGAGGTCAGTGCAGAGATGTTCCAGCATGGTGCAGGTCACCAGCAAACAGGAGGCTGCTGCACCATAGAGGGAGAGACAGTGGGTGGAAAGAAGCACCTGCATAGGCACAAGTAGGCAAAGGAGTGGCTGCCACCACTTAAATTTTTATAGGGATTGTGTTGGACCTATATATTGTTTTGGGAAGGATGGCTATTTTAAAATATTGATTCTTGCAATCCATGAGCAAGGAATATCTTCTTTGTGTCTTATATTTCTTTTAAAAATGCCTTCTAGTTTTTATTATACAGTTTCTTCACTTCTTTTGTTAGATTTACTCCTATGTATTTTTATTTTTTGGTTATAAATGAAGTAATTTTTTTTATTTTTTTCTTCTAAACCACTATATGCATATAGGAAGGCAACTGATCTTTGTATGATTTTATAACCTGACACTTGCTGAACTGATTAATTGCTTGACTTTGTTTCTCTGTGGAGTCTATTTAGAGTTCTCTATGTATACTGTCATGTCATCAGAAAATGGTAGTTTTAGTTCTTCCCCAATTTTCATCCTTTTGTATCCTTCTCTCACTTAATACTTTAGCTAGCACTTCCAACAGTAGCTATGTTAAGGGGAAGGATGTCCTAAAGGAACTCTGCAGGGTTTTGTGTACTCCACCCCCTACTCCAGTGACTGGAAACTACAACTCCCAGCAGTACCAAGGAGAGACCTGTGAAGACCCAAGGGCGGAGCTAAGCAGGCATTCTGGGACTTTGGGGGATAAATAGGGCGCCATTTTCTATGCTCTCTCTCGCTCTGGAAATAGCTGTCAGGACCACGTGACCACATGACTCAGGGCTTTCAGTTAGTTTGTTACCAGAGCTCCAAGTCAGGGGTCCGGTAAAATATTCCAGTTACTTTGTATCCCTCTCTCTTTACCGGGATTATTTTCTTTTCCCCTTTTATAAATATACCCATTTCTGACCCTTTTGTGTGTGCCTGCAGTACAACTGAATTTTAAGCGCACAGGTGAGGCCCCACAGACAGGGCGCCCAGTTCACACTGGGGTGCCCTATAGCTGTTATAGCAGTGAATTGAGTTACAGTGGTGAGTGAACATCCTTGTCTTCTACCACATCTTAGTGAAAAAGCTTCCGGTTTTTCACAATTGAGGTATGAGCTGTGGGTTTGTCATATATAACTTTTTCTATGTTAACTTCCACTTACCCCCCATCTTCCCCATTTTATTATTGTAATATATTTATATATTTTTTTACATCATTCTTCCTTTTTGTACAATGCACACTTTCTCCTCTAAGGATAGTTCCTGTTCACCACTTACCCCTTTTTTTGGCGTGCTTTCATAAATAAGTTTGATCAAATGCTTTCTTGACATCTATTGATAGGATTGTATGATCTTGCTTTTTGTTGAGTTGTGTGAATTATGTTGATTCTTGGATGCTGAGCCACCTTAGTCTCTACTTAGTATATGTCCTCCTTGGTCAAAGTATATACTCCTTTCAATGCATTGTTGGATTTGTTTTAAGAAATTAAAGATCGTTGCATCTGTGTTCATTAGGGGAAATGATCTGTAGGGTTTTTTTTTTGTGTGTGTGGGTGTGGTGTCTCTGGTATTAGAGTAATGTTGGCTTCATGAAATGTGTTTGGAAGTGTTCTTTCTTAGGTTTCTTTTTTTTGGATAAGAATTTGAGCATGATCAGTATTCATTTTAAGATTTGTTTATTTATGCATAGAGAACGGGGTATATGCCAGAGGTGCAGGGGGTGGTAAAAGGATCCACTAGAGACAGAGTGGGGAGCAGAACAGGCAGACTATGGAGTACACTGCAGTGGGCGGGTCAGGAGAGGTCTGCTGCGCCATGTGGGTCCCCTTCCTGGCTGGGGATTGAACTCATGCTGAGTTGAGCAGGAGCAAGCAGCTGCAGCTAGCCTCGCAGTGTTGGGCTTTAACCCACTGCATCACCAGGAGGGCCAGGTAATAGTTCATTTTTGAAGGTTTGGTAGCACTCATGTGAAGCCATCTTAGTCCTGAATGTTTTTTTCCCCAGGAGAGTTGACCACTGTTTCAATTCCCATACTTGTAATTGGTTTTTTATTTCCTCCCTATCCAGTGTTGGAAGTATAATTCTAAGAATTTGTCCACTGCTTTTAGGTTATTGAATTTATCAGCATATAACTATTCATATTAGTCTCTTAGTATCCTGTGAATTTTCACAGCATCTGTTTTATTTCTTATTCTTTCTGAATATTCTCCCCCCCCCTTTTTTTTTAGTGAACTCAGAGGTTTCTCTATTTCTGTTCTATTATTATTCCCTTTCTGCTACTGACTTTTTAACTTTGTTATTCTTGTTTCTCGAGGTTGGAGATAAGGCTATTTGAGCACTTTTTTGCTTATTTATATGAGCCTACATTGTGTCTGCTATGACCTGTAAGTTCTGGAAGGTTGTATACTCATTGTAATTCGTCTCAAGGAATCCATTGATTTCTTCTTCAATTTCCTTGTTGACCCTTTCAGTAGTATGTTGAGTCTCTAGGCATGGGAGATTACCCTGCTTGCTGTTTGTAGTTTATTCTAGTTTGTATCTTTATGATGAGAATATGCTTGGGATGGTTTAAATCAAAAGATTTATTTATGCATACAGCACTGGGGTATAGGCCAGAATCCTCTGGTGAGAGGATTCACCAGAGACAGAATGGGGAGCAGAATAGGCATGGATGATGTACACTGTTGGGGAGCAATGAGGTCAAGAGAGGTCTGCCATGTGGATCACCTCCAGGGGGCCAGGGATCAAACTCGCATTGAAATGGCTGCAGCTCCCTTGCAGTGCTGCATCCTAATCTGTTGCACCACCAGGGAGGGCCAGATTTCAATCTTAAGGGATTTGTTGATAAGTGTCTCATGCCAAAAATATATGGTTAATCCTGGAAAATGTCCCATGTGCACTTGAGAAGAATGTGTGATCAGCTTTCTGGGTGCTTTTTCATAAGACTGCTTCTAAGCTGGGCTGTAGAGTAAATGAGTCTACATGTGAGTCTTTAAAGAGACATTTTTCCATTTGCTCTATAAGTATTATGGGTCTCATGAGCCCACTGGTTTTCAAATGTAGATGTTTAGAGGCTCAGATTCAGATTATGAAGTAAGGGTGCTAGATGGGGGTTCAGAACCTTCTCAATTCAGGAGCAAGCTTCAGGTTTGAGTTCCTTCCTGACTGGATCACTGCACTGGG